AAGGCCCTTGTGTTCCACTCCATTTTCTTAATAGGTATTTTGGGGGGGGGGGGGAAGGGAAGTAGCAGTGGGAAAACACATAAGTGTTACAAGTGGAAGGCAGTGATGTGTGGACCCCCAATAAAATTTTGGACAGGACAATTACATATAAAAGCCTGAAGTTATATCTATTAATGGACAGTATATATCTTCCCTATTACAATCTATTTGCACAGACTGTATCATGCAAGTAAAGCAAATAACATGCTAACAGACATCATTTCTGTCTGTCTGTCTGTCTGTCTAATCTATCTGTCTAATCTATCTATCTATCTATCTATCTATCTATCTCTAACTAACTAACTAACTAACTAACTAACTAACTAACTAACTAACTAACTAACTAACTAACTAACTAACTAACTAACTAACTAACTAACTAACTAACTAACTAACTAACTAACTAACTAACTAATTAACTTTCATACTGTGCCATCGTAGAATCCCTGAATTTTAGGCTGTATCAGGCTTCTATTATAGCCTTCAGCAATAGAGTTTAGAACTTTTGATTAGGGAAGTCTACAACATTTGACTAAGGATGAGCCCTTTCATGTTTAAATAAAAATGGCTTTCTTTTGTATATTTTGTGTTATTTTGGCAACCACCAAAAGAGACCCTGTAAAAGAGAGCTACATGAAAATTGCATGTTTGTTGTGTTCCCTCTTTTATATGCTCTTTCTGTGCCCTTTGTATGACAAATTGCCTGAGAAATATTTCATCCAATAGCATCACAAAGGCTGTCAGCAGCCAGAGAAGTCCAGGGGGAACAGGAACTTAAAATCTGTAAAAAGGCCTGGAATCCAGTGAGAAATACTTGTTGCTTCAGTCATTCCTTGTGGTGTTACAAGGAATACTTCTAGTGCCCTCCATCTTGGATTGCTGCCTGTCTACTTGTTTGCCCATGTCTTCATCCAGGATTCTTCCCCTTTTTGTCTTTCTTTTACGGGGTATATTTCCCTGTTTATTTATATTATTATTTTCTGCTACCAGGCAGTCTTTCTTGTGCCAGTGTGCCTTCTTGGGACCCCAATTTGGTTTTCTTCCAGATTATTTTTTCCCTTTGGTTTTTTAGAAGTGGCATTATTTCCTTTCTTGGTGGTCATGGGGAGGAAACCTCCCAATATCCTAGTAGTTTTAGTTTGGGAGGGGCATTGATTTTTTTAGAAAATTTGTTTGCTTTTCTTGGTTTTTAGAAGCGAGACTGTTATGTGTTTTAATTTTGCTATTTTTTCCCTCTGCATGTGGTGCTTTCCTTGTTTGATTTATTTTAAAGAAATATTATTTGATTTATTTCCTATATATAGATATATATTTAAAAGTGTACACCCTGGTGTAGGAGTGGGGTTTTTTTTGGGGGGGGGATAGTTTTGTTTGCTTCTATGCAGATGTGTGGGCTAAGAGGGAGGATTTGCCAGTGTGTCACTGAATTATATGGATGGTGGTGGTTGTTGGTTGGGCACAGTCTGGAGTATTTCCCTCTTGTTGTTCTTGGTGCTACAGTGTTGTTGGTAGCTTTGAAAAGTGGTGTCTCTGTGTGCTTTGTAACCAGTACACAGATGCTTTCTTGTCTTTTTTTTTCTATTGTAGTTCCAAGACCTGGAGGATCTGCTGTACTGGGCAGGTGGCAACGAACTCACACTCTTGTTTTCCCTTTTCTCATTTATTGCTCCCCACTGTTGGAGTGGATTGATTCTCTGTCACCTTATCTCTGCTTTTTTGGAGTATTTCAAAGAGTTCCTTAGGACTTTTATAGTGCCAGAAAACACAAATGAGAAAACACATATTGAATAACCTCAAAAAGTTTTTACCTTTTGTGTAAATCAAAAGAACCAGTACAAATAAAAAGTACGAAAATAGTCACCTCCCAAAAGAACCCAAAATGAAAGAAATAAAAAGTTTCCACTGTGCAAATACCTACAATTTTTCTACAATATAGTTCCTAATCAATGCTGCAATGTTCATTGTTTGAATGAATGTGTTATTTTTACAGTACTGTACTAAAAAAACTGCCATTACAAGTTCACCTTGCCCCATATCTACAAAACACATGCTGTAAAGGTAAGTGATCTAAAGTATTTAGATAATATAGAACTGGATACTATAAGTACAGGAGCAGGAGCATATGGCCAGATGGAATATATGGTTTCAATTGCATCATCTCCATATCTTTATCAGATGCAAGTTTTTAACAATATCAGGCTGTGTTACATCATACACAAGTTTCAACAGCACAATACAATATTCAGACCTGCACTTTGTTCCATTATATTTGAAACAAAAATAAAGGATGGTTCCAGATACACAAATGAATATTTGTTCCTTCTCAAACAGAGTCAAGCTGTTTCCCTTTCGGTTATCTGCAAATTACTTGGTTTCCCATATCAGATTAGCAAAAAGATCTAGCTAGTCCCTCAAATATCTTCCTCTCCCTTCTCTGTGTGTGTTTTCAGTAATTCATGATGTCAGTTTTGTGATGCTTTCAAAAATGGTAGAAAATAAATCATAGGATAAGCATTCCCACTAGGGATTACAGATTTTAAATCAATGTCGCTTATTGGTCTTAAACAGTTAAACTGTAATAAGACATTTCAAAAAAAACTCAAGCTACCTTCTGTACTCAGCTTGATAACCACATTTGTGTTGCCACTTACATATGAGTAAGAGTGGCACTGAAGATTTGTGTCAGAGTCAGGTTTCAACTGTAATAAAAAGGATTGCTTACCTTCTGACAGGGAGAACTCATCAGCTGGAGACAGCAGGTCTGTCTGTACAGCAAAGTCATCGTTCAGCCACGTGGTAATCTGATTCGTCAAGATAACCTGCAAACAGATATGGAGAAGGAATTACAAGACAGACACAATAGTAGCCCAGACAAGAGGTACAGTTTGTAGACAGCCAGGTAACCCTCAATGCCGATCTTAATAGTCAACCATTTCAGTTCCTTCCTGGATCAATTTGGATGAACTGTTGTAGCATCTGAACAGAAAGCCGCAGATTACAATTCCTCTTGAGTAATTCTTTCAAAATTACCTAGATAGGTCTCATTTCCCTCTCTGGTAAAGGAAAAGAATGCCCCTTTTTAGACAGGAGAGTAGGTGGATTTCTGATTTGTTCTCTATGGGACAACAAGGATATCTTCACCAGATAAGATCTTAAAATTGAACCAGAAAGTGTTTTCTTCAAACAATGGGCATGTGGGTCACACTTTGTTTTTGTTTATATGGTTAGGTCTGTGTTCCAAAATGCCAATAAGAGCTATTACTTATTTTTTTTAGAAAAATCAGACCATTTTCTTATAAAATACATTGCCAAAACAGTGCCTGCATATTTTGTATTTTATCTTAGGCATTATAAGAAATAAAGACTAACTTATTTCAAAATGAAAGTTGAGAATCTGTCTGCAGCCTGATAGCAGCTTAATCTGGGGGGAGGGCAACTGTTTCTCTGCCCATTCTTGCAGATGCTCATGGTGACTTATTCCATGTATTCCTGCCTTCCTCCTCCCTTCCATGCTGCCAATTTCCTATCATACTTGCACCTGCCTAAACCACTATGATAACCCTTGCTTCCATGGAGGTTGAAATACTGTGATGGAGGAGAGTAGTATTTCAGGAGCATGTACTGCTGTGGGCCATAGGTTGGCTATACATAGCCCTTTGAGATAGGTGAAAGGGAAGGAGAAAATCTTGTTCGGTGTCTGGCATCAGTATGCAATCACAATGGAATACAAACCTCAAAAAAAAAAAAAAACCTGTTCCCCACCCCTGCCCACAAATGATGAGTATTTTGGTTATCTGGAAAAGATGGGACCTCTGACATCACCTGAGAAGACCTACCAATGGAACCTGACTGGGAAAGCTGATTTCATGACTTGCTTGGGCCCTCTCTTTCAAGCAACGCTCTTTGACAGGCACAAAATGGTGTTTGTGTTCCAGAGAGCCTCAAATACACCCATATGCAGAAATAGCTAATTTCTGCATCACCAATATAGATACGTGTTTGACCCCCTACTGAGAAAGGAGCTAAAGCTGTCATAAACCTCACTGAATGACTGATATTCGGGTTACCATTTCAATGTCTGCTAAGTGAAATGGGTAAATGTTCCCTGCAGAATAACATAGTTGGGCACAGGCCAAGGTAGTGATCTCAGCTAATAGTTCCATGAACCCTTTTAATTTAAAAAAAAGAAGTAGAATGAAGGCTCAAATTACCATACAAAACTGAAATTCAGTCTGCATTCTGCAGTGTTAGCCAGATGGAACCTGTCATGGGTTTTCAGGTTTACTTAACAACATTTACCTCCCTCTTGTCCTTACAGTAACAGGCAAAGATGTTCTTTTTCAGGCAGGTTTTTAAGCAATAAGTGTATTACGAATGCTATATTTATTAGAGATTTTAAAACTTTTTTTCAAATGTTTTAGCATTGTTTTTAATCCTGGTTTTAATCTTGGTATATTGCTTAATTTTTTTTTTTAATATGATATTTATGTGGTATTTTAAAACTGTTTGTAGAGTTTTTGCTCTTGTGAGTTGCCTTGGGTTCCCTATGAGGAGAAAGGCAGCATATAAATGATGTAAATAATAAATAAATAAATTTATATTTATTTTATGTTCATTCACTCATTTTGTTTATTTACGGTACCTTCCTCAAAACTAGAATCCAAGGTGACCTATGCATAATGGTAATTGCATGCAATCAAGTTGATTCCAATTTATGGCAACCTTTTCCAAAGTCTCCTAAGTATACAGTACTCAGAAGTGGTTCAGGTAAAGGTAAAGGTTCCCCTTGACAATTTTTGTCTAGTCGTGTTCGACTCTAGGGGGCGGTGCTCATCCCCGTTTCCAAGCCATAGAGCCAGTGTTTGTCCGAAGACAATTTTCTGTGGTCACTTGGTTAGTGCGACTTAGACACGGAACGCTGTTACCTTCCCACCGAGGTGGTCCCTATTTATCTACTTGCATTTGCATGCTTTCGAACCGCTAGGTTGGCGGGAGCTGGGACAAAGCGACGGGAGCTCACTCCGTCGCGTGGATTTGATCTTACGACTGCTTGGTCTTCTGACCCTGCAGCACAGGCTTCTGCGGTTTAGCCCGCAGCGCCACCACATCCCCAGAAGTGGTTTACCACTCCCTTTTTTAAGGGGTGCTTTGAGATCATGGAGGTTGCCCAATACTACATAAGTTGGCTGTTCTCCTGAGAGGCAAAGTGGGGAATCTAATTCCTCACATTAAGTTCTGCAGCCAAGCACCTGAATCACTGAGCTATCTAGCCTGCTACTGAAGGGGGCTTACGGTATGTTAAAATACTCAACTCAAAATACAATAATCTACTAGGTTTCTGCTGATCTCCCAGTGAGCTAGTCCTCAATCTCCATTTAAAGGCACAAAGGTGGCAGGACTTAGAAGCAGCATCTACTTGGCAGAGAGAGAATAATTCTCACCACTGTTACTGAGTCATAGGGAGAAACATAAAAAGAACATAATCCTCGTTTGGTCATTAGACAGTTAAAGAAAAATATGATCACTAAATAAACGAAGATGAGAGACAAATGAGGGATAAATATTCCAATTTAAACTAGATTACAAAATGCCATATTCTCTTCAAGGTCTTAGAATGTATTTTGGCAATTGTACTTCCTTGCTGTATCAGGTGAGCTGTCTGAAAGATAACAATGACCTGCTTAGGTCCTTCTTGAAAAGACTGTTGTCCTATGCAGAAGAGGCTATACATATGTATATATAGATATCACAAAGATCACCACCAGACCCAGAAGCAAAAACGAAAATTCAACACAAAGAATTCCCAAAAATGCTACACTTGGGTACAAACTTTTTAAAACAAAAAAGACAATCAAGCTAAATAGAGGTGGTCTGAAAAGTGCATAAATAGTGTGGATTCAGCATTGAAACAGTTTCTTTTGACATAAGTATACAAATCTAAAGGGACATAAATATGAAGAGGGACCCAACAGAAACAGATGTGAAGGCAACAGGATACGTTTCAGATTAATTCACAGTTATATGCAGACACTTCCACATTATGGTGTGGTATAAGGTTTTTATTGGCAGAAAATTGTACTGACCAAATTATTCACAAATGTCAAAAGAACTCACAAGTGATGTGGTCATTCCAAATTTGTTCCAATATCAACTTCACACTGTGCCATTGTGTGCTTTGTTTATGTCACATGCCTTTAAAAATGCAACGGCAACATATTTGACATTTTCTTTTTAAAGCTGAAGCATTTTAAATTCACAATCCATGTCACTTTAGAAAAACAAAGCCAATTCTACTGGTTTTTAATAGTCTTGTGGAAATCTGGAAATGACGAAGATGAAGGTTCTGTGTTGAGTAACTTCTTTCTGATACGCTTTTATAGCTCAATGGGCTGGAGTGCCTGCTGCGGAGACAGGAACTAGGAATCCAAAACTCTATTGTGCCTCCAAGGGAACAGACAAGCTGAGATTACCTGGATGTGTGTGGTTCCTGTAGTTATGTGCCCTGGTATCTGTACTGCCAGAAGGAGTGACTGGTAAACTGCACCCGAGTACTTTATACCTAAATAGGGTTTCAATAAGGGTTGGAACTGATTTGCCAGCATACAGTTAATTGTTATCTACGTCACCATTCATTTTTTTCTTTTCTTCTCTTTCTCCCCACCATCTCTCGCCCTCACAATAAAAATACACACACACACACACACACACACTGTAATGTGGCGGGCCACTCCAAAGTCACTGCCAACTCCAGGCCTCTCAGAATGCCCACCACACCACTACACACTCTTGCTGCCACCAACCTTTCCTTTAAATAAAAAGGACAAGGGTTTCTTTCAAAAATAAAACTGGCTTATTGATTACAAAATAAAATATGAAAATCACTGGAAGATAATCACGATGTAAATTACTTTCTCAATTTAATTAAACATAGACTTTCCCTCACTGACACTCAGGCATGCAGGCCTCTAACAAACTCTCCAGATCTCACTCTCTAACTCACTAACACACAGCTTCTAACTCTCACTGACTTTCTGGCACACTGTCTCTCAGACTCACAGAACTCTGTCTCACATACTCCATACACTCCTTTATATCCCAGCCCCTCCCCCTTTTGCACCTCCTTCCGTTCCCTCATTGGCTCCTTGTCATGGGTACCCGCTACACACACACACACACACACACAGAGAGAGAGAGAGAGAGAGAGAGAGAGAGAGAGCAAGAATGGGGGTGGGGAGTTTCTGTTCCCCTTCAATAAGACAGGACTGTGGCAGTTGTACCTGCACTTTCATGCACATATCTTTTTATTATTACTGACTTTCATGTTACATGACAGGATCAGAGACAACATCTGATTGGATGCGGACACTGGCAGGAGGTCTCCAAAGAGCACAGAAGCAATTGCTACAATTCACTGAGAGCCTTGAGACACTGGGCACCCTGAGGGTTGAAGTGTCCACAGGTCCCCTTTCGATACAGGTTAACAATATACTTTACGAGTAATAGGTCACGCAGTCCCCCGACACTCAGATAGCCATCACATGACTAATGCATATATACTGCTTTTGCTGATTGTGCCCTCGTGAGACCAGCAGCTTGCATTCTCAGAATAAAAATATTAAAACTTGCATTTTTTTTAAAAAACCCTCTGCAGCCATAGTCAATACTCCAGTTTCCCTTGTTAGTCAATCCATGGAGGATTGATGAAGTTCAGGACACAATATAGACATCCTTATATTACCATGCATTTCTTATAACAAACAACCAAAGCTTACGTAACTGCAGCCTGTAACTATCAAATTGTCTTTCTCTGGGAAAAACAGTACCATAAGTCTTTTCAGTTCCATATGAACCTACCTGGCAGTTAAGATCTAGCCAGGGGGCCCTCCTGAAAGAGTATGGAACGCCATCCCAATTGAGATTTTTCTGGCACTGACGCTGATGACATTTCGGCACCAGGTCAAAACCTTCCTGTTCCAGAAGTCTTTTAATTGAAATAATATCAACTGTGGGTCCTGGTGGCAATTTTTAGAGTATATATTTTGTTTTATCTTTTTTACTGTATTTTAATTGTTGTAAGCCGCCCAGAGACCTTTCGGTAGTCAATCCAAGATGGCCCAGACGGGTGGCATATAAGTTAACTAAATAAATAAATGTTGTATTATAATCATATTCAAAGTCTCATTCAGCTTTTCTGAACCTTACTGACATTTTCTTCAAAAACCCCATGTCATATGCCACTCTGTTTCCCCTTCAAAACTCATGCAGTAGCCTTCTGTCTTCAAAGGAGAGTAGCCCCTTCAGATCCAAAGCACAGGTTGCTGGAAGCATTGTTGAAAGTATGAATGGGATGCATGAATAGAAAGCACTGAATTCCTCACCCATCATTCTTATCTCTGCAAACTGTCTCCCAAAGCCAGCTCCCGACGAGATCAGCTGGGATAGAAGCAACTACTGTATGTGGATAAAGGAAAGCTGACAGACTGAGGACACCTCTTAGGTGCTTAAAATTGCACCCTGGCTTTACAGTTAATGCCAGTGGGGTAGAACCAGCTTTGAAGACACAGCTCTTTCATTGTCACATATAGTATTCCCCGCTCTGTCCTCTTGTTGCTAAATTTTTAACTGCCCTTTAAAATTGTCTTATGCTTCAATTATTCTGTTTTCATGTTTTCAATCATATTAGCTTGAAAAGAAATGTGGGACACAAATCTGATCACAAATAAGTAAGTTTACTATGGACATGAAGCCACATTTCTTGTTCTGGTCTGTTCTCAAAAGCAAATGCTAAGTTCCAAAGTACACTGGAAAACATTAAGAACCTAACTTTGGGCACCAATGCACAATTATGTTGGCTTTAATGGTCATCTTGTATAAATCTTTAGCCCCTGAAATTTCTAAGCTTCTCCATAAACTGGGATATAACATCTTCTGCTGTAAGAATAAGCAGAATATATTGACGTATTTTCTCAAATATAGCTTCTGCCCTCATTAGGACCACACTGAAACTACTAAATCTGCCTCCTTTACTCATACAAATCTAGATGAGTAAATAAACCATTTTCTGTAAACTTGTGGTCTTAGCCTCCTTGTTGGTTTATTGCAAAATTAAAGAGAACATAGTACAAAATCATCAATCAGTAACCAGCAAAAGTACTGCAGAAAGGATTTGGCATGTACCCAAAGAGGAGGTGAGAATCTCACATGAAACAGTTGTTTATTAGGAGAACATTTCACATGCAGTATCATTTAGGAAATGCTTATTAAAGACTTCTTATTGAGATAAGAAAGCTAACACAAAATGATAGAGAATCCAAAATGGCTTTCCCCTTTAATAACATATGTTCCTTACTGTTGTTACTGCACTACAGCAACACAGCTAAAGAAGCTGAAGCAGAAGATATTTTCTTAGCACTCTGGCAGTTACTCAGCATAATACAGTGGAGGGAGTGTTATTTTTAATCTCTAGGGTAGCCATTTCATTCCTGTATGGCTGAATGGCTGCACATCTCAGAACACTAGGCTGCCATGCTTCCCCTACCCAGAAATGTTGAGAGTATCCAGAATCAGTAGTGCTGTGCTCTATGAACTACTAGGATCTGGTTGAAAGAATAGTGCCTTGAGCCTCTGATGAAAAAGAAGGAAATAAAACAGAGAGAGGAACACCAGGAAGATATTTACTAATCCATCAGGAACGATAAACAATGGAAAAATGGAAGAGCTCATTACAGTAATGATGCCATATTTTCCCCCTGTGCTGACTGCGTAGTGATAATGGCAGTGGTCATCTGAGCCCTGCGACAGCAGCTGTATCACAGCCTGCACCTGCTGTGAAAGGCAAGCGGTAGTTACTGACAACACATAACTTAGACTAGACACTGGATTAACAACTTCCTTCAGGTCTGGGCTCTCCCCAGGTAAAATCTGTTCCATGAGCGTTAATAACAGCTTGCCACACATGGCTGAACAGTTGTCCATTACTTCACCCTGGTTTACAGTAAATCATTGTGAAATTTGCATGTTTCAAAGGAATTAGTGGTCTTTTACATTGGCCACATCTACGACTATTTAAAATAGGGTTGGCGATATTAATGCTACCAAACAATACAATACTTTGACAGGAAGATAACCCTTCCAACTCCTCTAACCATGGAAATAACACTACTACATTAGAGCTCTTCCAAACCTGTGTTACTAAAGTTGGCATTCTCTACAGTGGGTAAAGCTCAATACTTCAAAGCATCAGCACAAGTTCTGCATGCAAGTTTCTTCTAACTAGCTTCCAATGTTTTGAGAATTGTCTAATTAGTGCTCTCACTTTCTACACTGAAGCTGAGCCAGCATGGAAAAATAATTTTAATTTGATTCCCAGAAATGATTGTCTTATTCTCAGCAGCTCTCTACTTCCCCTAGCTGATCTCTATTTATCTCTTTCTGTCTGTGCGCCTACCTACCTATGCGTAAGAACCCTCAAATAGGAGATGGGACACTGATAGGTCAGGCTTTATCTGCATCAGTTGTTTCTGGAAGCTGTTTCCACCTAATTTTTTATGGTTCCCTCCTTCCCCTCACATGGCAGCTCACTTTCTTCAGCAGAGTTTCCAAGCCCTCTGTGTAATTATTTTCATGAGTGGAAAAGTTAGCTGGAAAAACTAGCAGCCCAACTGTACATAGTTAAATTTGCATCAAACCTATGGTGTGGTAAACAACCTATCTCAAAACCCACGAGGCTGTCATCATTTCAATACTTCTGTCACATAATCACTAAAACATCATGGAAACAATTTTTAAAGGATGATACAGAATTTTCTGAGCTTGAACTAGATGCTGATAAGAAAACTGAATCAATTACACTGCATTTCATATAAACCTCTGTAAAGCTAATTATTTTTCTTCTTATCTAGAGACCTTGCAAAAACTTACTTATAGTGACCCTAATAGGGTTTTCAAGGTAAGCAAGGCATTTAAGGAGTGAGCTTCCATGACAGAGCCAGGGAATCGAAGCCAGATCTCTTATGTCCTAGTCCCTTACTCTATCTACTACATCACACTGGATATATTGGCTATACTTTCAGATTTCTAATTTCACTGGTTTCCCCCAATGATGCCCCGTGATTTCCTGTGACAAAAGACCTTTGTTGTTGCTTTGCTATCACTAAGTGTTGAGATCTTTCAGGATTCAAACAGTAACCCTCCTGATATCAGGAGCATCACTGGTAGTCTTCAAAGTAAGCCATCTGGAGCCGCAAAAAGATCTCCAGATACAACCTGAATGATTCCATTCACCTTGCAACCCATTGGCTCCCTCTCACCTCTGACAGACTCTAGGCCTGAATCTTTGCCAAAGCAAGTCAGAATCTGACTTTCCTTGTGCAGTCTGGCTGCATTCCCACTTTCTGCCACCTAGTAGTTCTTCAGCTATCTGCATCTCAGTTTGCAGGTTCCCTTGTCCACTCGCCCATCCTTCTGCCTGCTTCCTACCTATATCTACCAAAGAGATTTCTGGCCCAGACTCCATCTGCAACTGTCTTTGCTGTCATTGCTTCATGTTACAGTTCTGGTCAATTCTGCCTCAGGTGGGCCTGAATCTCTGTGCCCAAATATTGACAAAAAGCAGTTCCTGAAATCTGTTTCACAACAACAACAATCCAAAATGGCCCAGGCTTTATGTAAATTAGAAGACAAAACCAAGAGGTTTTGTAAAAGAAAAAGCTAAACGTTTGTACAAACTGGCTGCTGCATTCAGCTCTGCTTTAGAATGGAACAATACCAAGTTATGCAATTCCCCTTAAAAAGCTTTCTGGGAAGAGCACAGACTGGATGCAAGCCTCTGCCAAAGGCTTAAAAATAATCACAAGAAATTAATAAGGGTTCTACAAGAAGGGGGAAAAAATGAAACACACACAAAAATGTGCTAGTCCCAAGTAGCTACATGTCTTCAAGCCTGAAACTACCACCACCCAGAAATAGCTTCAGGGCATTGCCTTTCCTCCTCTATGAACAAGGAATAGATCCAACACAAACGTAACCTTCAAACCTGCCCTCCTGCCCCCCATGCTGTTCTGCTCCACCAAAAAAGTCTATGTGCCTGGAGGGACTGCTTCATATGGGAACAGCCCAGGCTTTTACAGCCTGTATAAACCTGTCTGGAAAGACATGCGCAAGACATCCCCAAAGGCCAGGGTGGATCAGATTGCCTTGCCTCTTCCACATCCTGTCAGACTCCCAGGGCTTATGGGTTAGTTTCAACATGCTTTTGTTATCCTCTAGAAAGTGTTGAATAAAAGCACAGATTTCTGAATGAAGATGCCTTGTCCAAAAATGTGTGCTATCAAAAGCAGAGTAGATGATCCGTACAGAGTCACTGTACAGAGCAACTCTAGATTATATCTAACTGATTGGTCAAATTAATCTTCATTTTGGAGAGCTTTTGACAATGCATAGGAAGTCATTTTGCATACAGCCCCCGTTAAACTCATTCTCAGTTGTGGCTAAAGCCCTGTATCAGATTATGTTGCTCATGATACTCTCACGGTCAGCAGTGTTCTATAGCTCTTCATTTCTACTCTCTGTTGAGCGCTGGTTGCTGGAAGACTTAAAATTGTGATCCTTTGTTGAACTCCATAGATCAAGATGCAGGTCCTACACAATGCGGCTGAATGAAATCTTGACAAGCAGATTGATCTGTGATATGTTAGGGCATGCCAATGACCAGCAACCATTCCAAAACAGCATTTTCTGGAGTCTTTAAAACAGTTATATTTTCAAATAAGGAACCTCAAAGCACCTCTAAAACCCAAAGAGCTGTTTTGGATCAGACAAATGTTCTATCCATTTCATTTTTACTTTCCACGGTAGCCAATCGGATGCCAACTGAAAGCTCACCAACAGGACGTGGGGGCAGTGGGGCCCTTTTGCTTATTTTCCCCAGGGGCTGGCCTTCAAAGCAAAAGCAAAGCGTCCTGCTTATACACCACCCCATAATGCTTCAAGCCCTCTCTGGGCGGTTTACAAGTTAATTATGCAGACGACACGTTGCCCCCACAGCAAGTGGGCTACTCATTTTACCAACTTCGGAAGGATAGAAGGCTGAGATTAATTTTGAGCCCAGCTACCTGGGATTGAACCCTGGGTCGTGAGCACAGTTTTGGCTGCAGTACAGCAGTTTAACCACTGCGCCACAAGGCTGGCTCCTTCTCCGTCAGAGAAGTGTACTGCCTCTAATACTGGAGACGGTTATTATGAATCCTAACAAGTGATTGCTTCTGATGCAATACTTGACTTTTGTTTAGTTCACTGAATGTGCACTGCTGAAGACTTTTCTTTACCCAACGTGTTGTTAGTCTTTGGAACTCCTTGCCACAGGTTGTGGTGATGGCATCTGGCCTAGAAGATTTTAAAAGGGAATTGGACAGATTCCCACAGGTTATAAGCCATGATGGGGATGTATAATTTCCAGGCTTAAAAGGAAAGTACCTCCAAATGCCAGATGCAGGAGAGGGCTATCAGGAGACAGGTATCAGGTTGTCTTGTGTGCTCCCAGAGGCATCTGGTGGGGCTACTGTGAGATACAGGAAACTTGACTAGATGGGCCCTTGGCCTGATCCAGCAGGGCTCTTCTTATGTTCTTATTTTATTTTAAAGCAGCCATTGGTAAACATAAAATTTGCAGAAAAACACTTTTAAAACTGAAAAATGTTTCCACACATTACTTCTTATTAACTTATACAATAGTGTGTTCGGGATCTAGATGTATACATTATTATTCTACTGGTCTAGTGATGTCAACCTTGACCTTTTAGCAATGTCAGCCTTGCCCTTTTCTACATACAGATATATCACACCACAGTCCAAAGAAATTCTGTTAAACCTGTTCCTTTTAGGTGGCAATAAGGTAATTGTACAAGAAAACTGTTGTCTCAATTTTCAGCTAAAATTCCCAACAGTGTATACTTGTCCCCCAGAGAAAGCTGTGTAAATATTTGCATTCTCATACATGCATTGCTATTGCTTTTCTGAGGTTCCCAGCATCTCATTGCAATATGCCATCAGTTTACATATATATAAAACAGATTAATGGCTTCTTTTTTTCCTAAGATAGATAGGAAATATATGCAGTACTAAGAGCATATACCTATGTTCTATTTGAGAGCCAGAGTATTGTAGCAGACAGAATGTCAGATTTGTATGAAGGAGAGACAGCTTCAAATCCCCACTCAGCCATGAAAACACTGGGGTAACCACTCCTTGAACATCTCATAAACCCAACGAAAGTTATCATAACATGAACACATAACAACAGTATGTTCCAATACCAAAACTGACCATCTGTTTCATTTCTCTGTAATCTGTGGAAAAATAAAACATAGTTAAGAAGCACAAATAAACAATTAAGAACTCTCAGTGGGCTGCATCTACCCACACAATGTGACTTCCCCTATTGCACATACACTTTTCAAAATTTGCAAAATGGTCCCGTGGCAGATTTGGGGGGCTGAAGGGGGAGGGAGAATTTGTTCCACTTGCAGTTGCCATTCTGCTGGCAGTGGGACAACTGGCCACAATCCAAAAGTTGGTGTTACGGCTTTCACTCTTACATTGCAGTCATTTTCTGCGCTATGCACATTTAAGTTTCACTGATTTCACTGGACAAACATGTACAGCTGAATATAAGACTGCAGTTTCAAGATTGCTGGCTTCATACACCTGGTTGTATTAATCAAGCATTTGTGATGCTTATATACTGACCGCTAAATAAAGGCTGCAATCCAGAGATCCACATGTCATAGAGATTGGAGAGAGAAGAGGCCCTGCACTGAATTATCTCCAAAGGAGGGGAAAGATAGAGCATTTCACAAGCACAGAAGCAGGCTATCCAACAAAATGGGTGAAAAGTGCATGCTGTGAACAGAGTGCATGACTAGAAATGCAGCTTACAATGACTCTTCTGATTATTTCCATGTGTCAAATAATAAAGA